TGAGTCGCCATACAGGCTGAGATATTGGCGGTATATAAGCGCACCAAATAAATAAATAAATAAATAAATAGATCCTTATTATGTGGGCGTATGTTTGACTGATTTGGATTATGTTCAATTTAACTATTTGAATATCTTGTTTTGTGGTCATAAGTTCTTATATTGTTTTGTTTATTGGTTTTAGTTTGGTTGTTTATTGGTTATTGTTCATCTTTGGCATTGAACATTTGCCATTTTTCTGTTGGAAACTGCTGTGAGTCCCCTCGGGGAGACAGGGCAGGTTACAAATAAAGTTTTTATTATTTATTATTATAAAGCATGGCAACAATCTGTCCCAAGTTGAAGAGGTGAAAGAGAGCCCTATGCCTGATACAACAGTCATCCTTCCAGAAAACCAGCACTCACCGGATGAAGCTGAGATGCACACCAAGAGACCGATGAACTCCAGAACAGTCGATACAGAGAAACACTCCATATGTAACACTGGCCCAGCTTGGGTTCTTTGCGCCGCAGTCAAAGCAGGACTACAAGAAAAAAAAAAGAAAGGCTTACAAGACAGCAATGTAGTACCAAGAGAGCAGGGGGAATGTACATAGCAGAATGTGTGTATACTAACTTATCTAACCCAGTATCCTCTATCCTCACAGCATTCTATAAAAACGTTCTCATTAGCCAGGAGGGCTGGATCAATTATTCAAATATTTTTTTCTCTATCCAGGAGCTTACCAGTATGGAGCAACACTTAACAGTTTGCCTTCCTTTTGTTTTGTTTTGCAACTTGCTGATATAAAGATAGCCATATTGCTTTTTGTTTCTGTTCTAGATTAATTCAGAAGCCCCCAAGCTTTAACAAGAGCAGTCGCTCCCAGGTTGCCAAGATCTTGCCAGCAACCTGAAAGCTGATACCTTGACAGATTTGCACTGTACTGCAGTGAACATGCAGATGGAATAGGGAAAATGTAAGAGATTAGTTGGGCAGATATGTGGAGAAGAGAGGCAACCTAAAAGAGAATGAGATTGGAGTGACAGAGAGAAAGGAGGCCATCCACTGTTCACAGAGAAGGGCAAACCAGAGAATGATGATCAGAATCTGGGTATTGATGATGAGAATGAGATAGGCCTGACTAATCCACCAGGCCAGGTTTTCAAAGCTCTGGTTTGTTTCTCCTACTTTTTTCCTACAACAGGCTGAGCATTCCTTATCTGGAATTCCAAAATCTGAAATATAGAGAAAATGTGTCTCCACTGAAGCTTTCTCACCAATTGAGATAGTCTGGGATGATACAAATCAGACATTTATTATTGTTATCATATCATTGCTAATATAATTTTAAAGAGTCAGTATAAGGAATAAGTTTTAATGTTTATAGTGGAAATTGCTTATTGTACTTTTAAAAGTTGTATATTATTTGATGTCATGGCCTATGGCTGGTACAATAAACAATTCATTCACATTCATCTACATTGTTTCCCTAACAAGCCAAATTTTTCAAAATCGAATTATCACAGAGGCTGAAAGTAGGGAGGAATGTTCTGAACAGGGGGCACAGACAGCAAAACAAACACCATAGGGGCATTAACACTTCCCAATCCAAAGCTTGCTCATACATATGAAATATGGCTGGAGATACACTTTAAATTGTACCTCTTCCGACTTATAAACAAATTTAACTTAAGAACAAATCTACCCATCTTGTTCATAACTTGGGGACTGCCTGCACTACCAAATCAAAACTGTCTAGATGGGTGACTGAGATAGGGCCCTTCCACAAAGCTCTATATCCCAGAATATCAAGGCAGAAAATCCCACAATATCTTCTTTGAACTGGGTTATCTGAGCCCACATTCAGATGATGTGGGATTTTCTGCCTTGATATTCTGGGATATAGAGCTGTGTGGAAGGGCCCTCAGTGATTCCTTTGCTTTTTGGTGGCTCAGTGCACACCAGCTTTTTTTCTATTCACATAATAATTAAAATATTGTGAAAAATACAGACCATGTATTTAAGAGATATATGGCACATCAATGAATCTGTGCTTAGGCCTGGATCTTATCTTCAAGATAATTTGTTATATAATGTATTTCGTTGATTCCTAGATGCCATCAATTGTAAGATGGACACTAATTCCAGTACCAACAGGAAAAAAAAACAGCCCCTGTTTTTCCATTTTATATGGGAAAAAAGTGAATCTTAGAAGTGAAGAAATCCAGTAAGTACATACAAATACTGGTTACTGAACATCCCCCCCCCCCCAAAAAAAATTCAAAATATCTTTTATGAGGTATATTCAACCTGTATTAGGCCTGATGGGACTCTTAAGGGAGCTGAAAGCCTTGCACTGGGGGTCCATATACTTGTTGGAGTGTTGTGAGTTTTCCGCGCTGTTTCAGAAGCATTCTCTCCACATCTACGGAAGGCTTCCTCAGAGGTTATGAGGTCTCTTGGAAGTTAGGCAAGTGAGGTAGGATGTCCAGGGTGAAAGAATTCCACACACTGTGTGAATGTTGCAATTGGCCACCTTGATTAGCATTGAATGACCTTGTAGCTTCAAAGCCTGGCTGCTTCCTGCCTAGGGGAAAACTTTGGTGGGAGGTGTTAGCTGGACCTGGTTGTTTCCTGTCTGTTGTTGTGTATTCATTTGTATTCCATGGTTGCCTCCATAGTTAGGCAATTTGACACCACTTTAGCTGTCATGACTCAATTCTATGCAATCATGGGAGTTGTACTTTCAAAAAGCTCTTTAGCCTTTTCTGACAAAGGGCCCTTCCACATAGCCTTAATATCCCAGAATATCAAGGCAGAAAATCCCACAATATCTGCTTTGAACTGGGTTATCTGAGTCCACAAATCCAAATGTGAGATTTCCTGACTTTATTTCCTAGAATATTGGGATGTGGAAGACCCCAAAGAGTTATTTTGCCTCATTGAACGACAAATCCCAAGGTTCTATAGCAGTGAGTCACAGCAGTATCAAACTGCATTTATCCTACAGGGCAGACGCACTCCAGGAGCTCTGGAGCAGTGCAAATTCAGGCTACCATCCCTCCCATGTTTTTACCGTCCCACCTCCACAAATGTACTTTTTCATTGCTATCTCATCCAGAGTTTTATCATTTTATGTCGTGCATTTGGCCCGCCCACTGTGTTTTACTTTTCCTTATGTTATTTTGTACTGTTTATTTTACTTGATTGGTTTATTTATTTTATTGTGATGTTATTTTGTAGTTTATATTTTATGTTGCTGTAATCTATCGCTGGGCTTGGCCTCATGTAAGCCGCTCCAAGTCCCCTTTGGGGAGATGGTGGTGGGGTATAAATAAAGTTTATTATTACTATTATTACTATTACTATTATTATTATTTAGCTGAGGGCTGAGGGCTCTTCCACACAGCCATATAACCCAGAATATCAAGGCAAATAATCCACACACAATATCATAGAATCATAGAGTTGGAAGAGACCTCATGGGCCATCCAGTCCAACCCCCTGCCAAGAAGCAGGAAAATTGCATTCAAAGCACCCCTGACAGATGACCAGGTTTAAAAACCTCCAAGGAAGGAGCCTCCACCACACACCGGGGCAGAGAGTTCCACTGCTGAACGGCTCTCACAGTCAGGAAGTTCTTCCTCATGTTCAGATGGAATCTCCTTTCTTGTAGTTTGAAGCCATTGTTTCGAGTCCTAGTCTCCAGCGAAGCAGAAAACAAGCTTGCTCCCTCCTCCCTGTGGCCCCCTCTCATATATTTATACATGGCTATCATATCTCCTCTCAGCCTTCTCTTCTTCAGGCTAAACATGCCCAGCTCTTTAAGCCGCTCTTCATAGGGCTTGTTCTCCAGACCCTTGATCATTTTAGTCGCCTTCCTCTGGACACATTCCAGCTTGTCAACATCTCTCTTCAATTGTGGTGCCCAGAATTGGACACAATATTCCAGGTGTGGTCTAACCAAGGCAGAATAGAGGGGTAGCATGGCTTCCCTAGATCTAGACACTATGCTCCTATTGATGCAGGCCAAAGTCCCACTGGCTTTATTTGCCGCCACATCACATTGTTGGCTCATGTTTAACTTGTTGTCCACGAGGACCCCAAGATCTTTTTCACACGTACTGCTCTCAAGCCTGGCGTCCCCCATTCTGTATCTTTGCATTTCGTTTTTCCTGCCATATCTCCTTTGTCTTCAATTGTGGTTCCCAGAACTGGACACAATATTCCAGGTGTGGTCTAACCAAGGCAGAATAGAGGGGGAGCATGACTTCTGCTTTGAACTGGCTTATCTGAGTCCACACTGCCGTATAATCCAGTTCAAAGCAGATGTGAGATTTTATACAGCTGTATGGAAGAGACCTAATACTACAAAGCCTTTCAAAATGAGAGAAACTGCGAGAATATAAACCCGGGCACTATGAGAGAGACAGAGAGAGAGAGAGAGAGAGAGAGATGCTGTGCTGCCCCACTGACCGACGATCCTTCCCAACTCATAGGCCGGCTCTTTTATTTGCCTTAAACCTGCCCACAATGTCACGCTCTAAAGGGTGTCCTAACCACCCCAAGAAGGGAGGCAAGAGAGGCCGCCTCCTCACAAAAACGACCCTTCAGCCTTCACCCCTCTCTCGAAATACCTTGTTGGGCGGCAATGCCCTCAGCCGCTTGAACAGGGTCTGAACTTCCGTCTTACTGGGCCCGTCCGCCATGTTTTCTTCCTCCCAGCAGCCACCGCGGCCTGCGACGGGTCACCACCAGGAGCCAATCCGCGCGCGGGGCGTTCCCAGCAACGGGTCCCCGCTAGGGTCAATCCGCAGTGCGCCCTCGCCGCCGCCGCCATGACACTTGAGGCACAGTAGGCGAGAGCGCAGAGGGGGAGCGATGCCCAAAGCTTGCTCGGCCATTAACTGCCCCAACCGGGACACCCGGGAGAACCGGGCCAAAGGCCTCTCTTTCCACAGGTCAGGAGTTTTGCATGGCCACCTCCAATAAGGCCCTTATCACACTATTATATCGTTATTACTCCGCTTTAAATGGCATGGCAACATTCTGTGGCCTTCTGAAGTTTGTAGCTTAGCCAGGCTGATAAACCTAAATGCCTCAGGAATCTATAGAATTTTGCTATGGCAACTGAAGTAGAATAGTAGAGCTATAATAGTGTAGAGTGATAGGACCCAAGGGACTGAGGATGCATCTACACCGCTTAAGCGGCTGAGGGGGAAAAGGAAGGGGCCTGAGGCTGTTAGGAATGGTGGGAGTTGGAGTCCAAAACACCTGGAAGGAGGGCCCAAGTTGGCCCAGGCCTGATCTACACTGTAGAGTTAATGCAGTTTGACACCACTTTGATGGCCATGGCTCAATACTATGAAATACAGGGATTTCTAGTCTTTTCGCACTTTGACAGAGAAAACTTACAAGACTATGAATCCTATAATTTCATCGCATTCAACCCTGGCAGTTAAAGTGGCATCAAACTGCATGAATTCTACGGTGTGGCCATGCCCCCGATGTAAGCTCCATTGTTAGGCTGAGGTTCTGTGGTACTGTTTCAAACATTTTCTCTTCCCTGCAGCTTCCCCAAGGCTCATGAACTGAGGAAGAAGTGGATGCTTGCTGTGAACCGCATTGAACCCGGCTCCAGGAAGCTGTGGATCCCCGGTTCTGGCGCTTGCCTTTGCTCAGAGCACTTCAACCAAGAGGAGTTTGAGGTCTATGGAGGTCAGAAGAGGCTGAAGGCCGGCGTGATCCCCTCTGTGTTCTCCTTCAAGGTATCCCAGCTAAAGGAAGAGACTGTAGGTTGAGTATTCCTTCTGTGAAAGGAAGAAAGTATGAGTTAAATATCCCTTCTCTGAAAGGAAGAGAGTATAGGCTGAGTAGCCCTTATCTGAGGGTCTCTTGGTGATGCAGCGGGTTGGAAATGAGCACCACCCTCCCCCAGAGTCAGGCACAACTAGACTGAATGTCAAGGGAAAACCTTTACCTTTTATAAAACCTAATGAAGCAATTTCAGACAAATACCCAAGTCTAAATCTGCACAGGAGCCCCTGGTGGCAGAGCAGGTTAAACCGCTGAGCTGCTGAACTTGCTGACCAAAATGTTGGCGGTTTGAATCTGGAGAACAGGGTGAGCTCCCGCTGCAGGGCCTAGCTTCTACCAACCTAGCAGTTTGAAAACATACAAATGTGAGTAAATCAATAGATATTGCTTCTGCGGGAAGGTAACGGTGCTCCATGAAGTCATCCTGGCCAGATGACCTTGGAGGTGTCCAAGGACAATGCCAGCTCTTTTACTTAGAAATGGAGATGAGCACCACCCCCAGAGTTGGACACGACTAGACTTAATGTCAGAGGAAACCTTTACCTTACCTTATCTGAAAGGAAGAGACTATCATTTGAGAACCCCTTATCCAAAATGTTTGGGACCAGAAAAGTTCCATATTTTTGAATACCCGCATGGCCGTATCTTGGAGATGGGATCCAAGTCTAAAGACAAATGTCATTTATGTTTCATGTACACTTTATACACAGAGTGGGAAGGTTATTTTATACTCTCGCTCAAGGATATTAAAAATACCCAGCAGCTCTGTAGATGTAGTTTTTGGATAGATTACATTTAAAATGATCATCTATCCAATTCCGAAGACTGCTTTACATTGAAACATGTTGTGCATTTTTCCAGCTCTGTTGTATTTTCTTTGGCTCTACAGTAGTTATTTCACCGATTTCCCAGAGCTCTCATCATTTTAATTTGAGATGTCAGGAATATAACATACATCCTTCTACAGATAAGTCAGAGATACAAAAGTTGCTGAAAAATTACTACTGTGTTACAATTATGGTAAACACCAAAAAATGCTTAGTGAAAAATACCATTAAATTATTTTTTTACTCTGTTTTTTTATTTTCTGTGTCAGGAGCTACTTGAGAAACTGCAAGTTGCTTCTGGTGTGAGAGAATTAGCTGTCTGCAAGGACATTGCTCAGGGGACTCCCAGATGTTTTACCATCCTTTGGGAGGCTTCTCTCATGCCCTACATGAGAAGCTGGAGCTGACAGACAGGAACTCACCCTGTTCCCCAGATTCGAACTGCTGACTTTTAGGTCAGCAGTTCTGCCAGCACAAGGGTTTATTCCATTGCACCACTGGGGGCTCTTTTCACTCTGGGTGTAGATTTAATGTAGTTTGATACCACTTTGGATGTAGAGATTCAATGCTATGGAAACATGGGAGTTGTGGTTTTACAAGGTCTTTAGCCTTTTTTTTACCAGAGAGTGCTAATGCCTCACCAAACAACAAATTGAGCCATGACACTTAAACTGCATACATTCTTCAGTGTAGATGCACCTTAAATCCCGTTGTCGACCCCCCCCCCCCCAATTGTGTTGATTGAATTCATATTGCAAGGTGGTCACTTATTTTAATTCACCTAATTCTGATCTACCATTTACTTTTACATAACATTCCCTTTAAAATCTTACTTGAATGCAAGTGAAAAAGTCCACAAACTGTTTTATTCCTTCCCATATATCTTGATTTTGATCTTGGGAGAGAAGGAAAAAGCAAAAGGAAAGAGTTCTTTTTGAAAACCCAGTCTCTCAACTGAAAGGAAATGAGTGAAGTTAAAAGGAAATGCACCTATACACAGGAAGGATGTAGGAAACAAAAAAACAGACCTACCTCATACCCAGATTCTGAGCATCCTTCCCTGGATTGCCTTCCTTTGCAACCAGTGGATGGCCTCTTTCTCTCCCTCTCACCAACTTCATTCCCTTTTAGGTTGTCTCACTTCTCCTCATGTTCTTCTGTCCAGCCAATCTCTTGTCTTTTCCCTCCTCTATGTGCCCCGTCTTCTGTCTCTAGTTTTGTATGTTTCCCACCTTGTACTCTCTCAACCTATCTCTCTTTCTCTGTTCTGTCTTATCTCTTTCTCCTGTCATGCTTCCATCCACTTCCTTCCTTCTCATTCTGTATCCAAAGATAATGCATCTCAGGCTTCCTTTTCCTATTTTCCCTTCCTCCCTTCTGTTCTGTGCAGCCCATCCTTCTTGCTGCTCATCTTCTATAACTGCTGCTATAGAAAAAAATCCAAAACCAAAAAACTCAGATAAGTAGGACGAAAGAGGGGAGGGGAGGAACAATGAGCTCGTAACGCTCTTTTACATGCTACCATCCCAGTGTTGCACTGAGTTTTTTTAAAGAGGAAATCTGCTTTTCATTCCCCCCCCCCCCCCAGCCAAAAGTTGATAGAAACGGGGTTTTATTCAGAGAAGGAGAGAACTACCTATGGAAAGCTAAAGGAATATAATAGTAGAGTGTTTTGTTTTTTTTTGTGTGAGGAGCGACTTGAGAAACTGATGTGAGGGAATTGGCCGTCTACAAGGACATTGCCCAGGGGAGGCCCAGATGTTTTACCATCCTGTGGGACGCTTCTTTCATGTCTTCACGTGGGAAGTTGGAGCTGACAAACGGGAGCTCACCCTGCTCCCCGGATTTGAACCGCCGACCTTTTGGTCAGCAGTCCTGCCGGCACAAGGTTTTCACCCATTGTGCCACCGGGGACTCCTAATATTAGAGGTTAATTTATCCTGCTGTGTTTAATAATGTGTTGTTCTAAAATTTTCTCTGGCTCCCTGTCAAACCTGAATTGGATTCAGGCCACACATCCCAAAACCGAAGAACCTATACAAAAACACAGCCACAAGATCCCCTTTAAAGGGCTTGCCTTGAAGCCCATGGACCCAATCCTGTAAGGAAGCAGTTGGGGGGAACAAGGGCATGGTGATGGGCAGGATTTCTAGGGGTAGGAGTTTTGTGGTCATCTTTGGTAAAGGGATCTGTTACACCAGATATGTATTACTTCCAGTTTTAAAATTGCCCACTCTTGAGAATTCCTCCAAAATGTTTTGGCACCAGCCAAGCAGTATGCATTTCTGAGAGGGCTTTAAATATATCCCACTAGAGATTTCTCTTTCACTAGAGTGAACCTTTTCTATTGGGATGTCTGTGAATGCTGAATTTTCTGGTGGTTGATAGGGAATGCTGAAGTGCACAAACCCACACATGATGGGTAAGCAGACAATGGCCACATTGTGTGAAGTTTTACTGAGCTTGCAGTACAGTTCACCACACCCTGGTTGTTGTGTTTCCAGCTCCATCTTTGTTGGCTTAAATTAAATAGGAATGTGCCCATTTTCTGGAAGCGGCAGTCACAACAGATGCAAACTGAGCAAATGCAGAACTAGATTTGTTAGTATTTCTTGCTGATAGTCATATCTAAAAAAACCCAGTGAGGTTTGTTGTGTAATGAATGATAGCATGAGAAGAATTACACTAAGGATATGTTACCTTTTTACATTTCTTGAGGGCTTAAAAGTCTCAGTTGAAGCTGTATGGATTTATATATAAATTGAATTAAAATTGTGTTTCATATCTGTTGTTGCCATTCTTATTAGTGTGAATTTCTTATGCAAAACAAAGATGACGACGACAATGTCAACAACTATGTTTAGTTATTTGATTTCTTTTTCTTTTCCACACAAGTTGTAGGTTTATTGTTTTTAATTAACTAGTTTAAAACAGTAGGCATAGAATAAATATCTGATTTTGCCACAATAGGGGATATAACATATACTGCTATGTGGGACTTTCCCCCTCCTTCCTTGCACTCTCTCTCTTTCACCAAAGTATGGTCCTCTGAAGCTTCCTTTTTGGCAGCTCTGTTTTTTTTCCCCCTTTGGAAAGAGTTATTTGTGTGCCTCTATAGGCATGACAGATGTCCTCTGCTCTTAATTTGCAAATGTTTATTTAGGACAGTGTCCTGCATTATGTCTCATCTCTAAATAATGCAAGCTGTGTCTGTTAGAAGGAAGCTGCCTTATGCTACAATACATTTTTATTATGCCCAGGAATGGGCAAAGTTCAGACCATGGGCCCATACACAGCCTAGAGCGGAGCGTTCCAAGCATTTAATAATAAGTCCCTCCAAGAGGACTCAGGGCAAATTGCAACAAAACATGGCAAACAATCAATGTCAGATCCAATACACAAATAGAAACATAAATCAAACATAATAGACATTCAACATGAATTATATAAACAGCACATAACATTATAATATTAATATAATGTTAATATAAACATTAATATAATTTCATGTTTTTGACACACTTTTTAAACTTGCATCATTTTGTGACACAGTAATTCAGTTTTACTAGCAAACCGGAGATTGAATCAATCCCTTATGAGAGATACAGACTCATACATAAATTGTAATAAGGAAATGTTAATAAGGAAACATAGCTCAACCTTTCATTTATATACATATTTTAAAAATATATGATTTATTGTTTATTTCACATAGACTCACTATGTTCGTGTGGCACTCCTACGCACTGCAGCAGACAGACTAAAGTAACATGACACACATTTAGAAAACTCTGGTGTGGAGCCTTTTTGTGACCTCCAGGGGTCAGTTTTTTGAAAAAAAAAATAAACATATTTTGGAGGAAATGCTCTGTATTAAGGATAGGGAATATTTTTGTCCCTTGGACTATTTTCAGCCCAGGATAATCTCTTTATTAAAAAGAAAAAAGAAATGAACAGGATGTGATTTTCGTTATCTTCCTGTAGCTAAAAAAGAGGCCTCTTCAGGGCCTGAAATGACCTTAGAGGAGACAAAAGCACAATGAAAGGGTCCTACTTGCCCCCACCCTCCCAAGTGTGTTTGGCTGTATTTGAGAGTAAATCTTGATTCATATTTCTAATACAAGGAGGTGAGGTGGGGATGGATCTGTCCAAGCTCTCTTGGTGGGGGGATAGCACCTCCTTCTCTGCTTCCACAATTTCCCTGATGCGCTAATTCAGTACAGTATGACTCCCGTATCTGCAAGAGATACAATTCTGGACTGCATGTGGATGCGCAAAACCTATTGAAATGAAGGACTTCTGGCCTAAGAATACCATAGAATGGTGCTGCAGTAGTTCTCAACCTGTGTGTCCTCAGATGTTTTGGCCTTCAACTCTCAGAAATCGTAACAGCTGATAAACTGGCTGGGATTTCTGGGAGTTGTAAGCCAAAACACCTGGAAACCCACAGGTTGAGAACCACTATTCTAGCAGATCTAGAAAATTCCTGTAGAACGGTGGTTCTCAACTTGGGGTCCAGAATTCCCTGGGGGTCTGCAAAGGATTAAATTATGAGTTCTTATTAGTGTTTATACTATTACTTTAAATTTGTGTTAAATCATTATAATCAAAATATGAGTGTGAGCATTAACAGATTAATTTGTATCCCATTCTCTCTAAATTTGAAGGACCTTTATGAGAAAATTGAAATAATGATTTGATGCAGTCTAGCACCTTAAGTCTTGAGTTAAGTCTTGTGCAGGCATCCTCAAACTCCTAGAATTCCTGACAATTGAACAAGCTCAGGGAATCTGGGAGTTGAAGGCCCAAACAGCTGGAGGGCTGCATTTGATGATTCCTGGTCTTTGGGGTCCATGACCACAAAATATACTGAAGAAAGGGGTTCTATGGTGAAGAAAAGCTTGAGGACCACTGCTATAGAGGATATGTTTTTTTCAGACAAGATAAATGAAACTGTGGGTACTGCTCCTAGAACCTTACTGTATTGGCAACCCTGGTTTGGAGCAGCTCCCATAGGATTCAGGTTATATTCTTTCCTATCTCTAGCTTGAGATGCTAGAGATTGGCCCAGTATTATGGTGTTGCTGTTCTATATATTTGAAAACTCTTATCCAGAAGACATAAGATATTTCAACAGCTTCTTACGATGTCCAGATAGCAACAATAGAACAGATAGGAAAATGAGGCCGGACTTTATGGAACACCTAAGGCATCTCAAAGTTACATAACAGCCTCCGGAGATGAATGATTTTATCCAGATGCATCCTGGTATTCAGTCATGTATGGCTTCAAGGCTGCAAAAGAGTCTGTTTTATGGGTTGTTGTAGGTTTTTTCGGGCTATATGGCCATGTTCTGGAGGCATTCTCTCCTGACGTTTTGCCTGCATCTATGACAAGCATCCTCAGAGGTAGTGAGGCCTGTTGGAACTAGGAAAATGGGTTTATATATCTGTGGAAAGACCAGGGTGGGACAAGGAACTCTTGTCTGCTGGAGCTAGGTGTGAATGTTTCAACTGACCACCTTGATTAGCATTTGATAACCTGGCAGTGCCTGGAGCAATCTTTTGTTGAGAGGTGATTAGATGTCCCTGATTGTTTTCCCTTTGCTGTTTTAATTTTAGAGTTTGTTAATACTGGTAGCCAGATTTTGTTCATTTTCATGGTTTCCTCCTTTCTGTTGAAATTGTCCACATGCTTGTCTGTTTTATAACCTTTTAAATTGCATGTTGACATCTCTGAATGAAGAATTAAGTAGGTGCGAACAATGCCCTGTTGGTATTGTTCAAAATTTCTTAGAGAGATGACTAGATAACTGCTTTTAGAAGGCAAAAGACTTCCCAATGTTCAACATCTGGGTTGGATTAGAGATATAACCATAACACCCTGCAAGAAGGCACTAGTGCTATGCAGTTTGCTATCTCAGTCCAAAAATGATTGCCTGAGGAAAGTCTAGTCTCATTGCTTCCTCTTGAAACTTTTAAGTGAATTCACTGAGATGGGATGTCAATTAAATATTAATAACAAAAGGGAAAATAGTACAGTATTGAATAGTCCATAGAGTGCAATAACTTTCCATGAGCTTGTCTCTCATGTGTGTTGGAAAGACAAGGCATCCTGCTGCCCTATTTCTAAAGGGGGAAAGGAGAAGTCACGCAGGAACAAAAGGTCTAGTTGTCTTCCCCAAATACTTTGCTGAGTCCCTCAAAAGAACCATTCCATCAACAGCCCTAGATTTTGGCAAAAGTGAACAGCAGAGACAGCTGCCTCCTGATCTCACCCCTGCCTTTTCCATGAAAGCAGCAGAAATGTGATAATTACTTCTTTGAACAGGACGGGCAAAGCTTCCTGTTGATGGCAGTTCCCTGGCAGAGAATGCTGTCGGGCAGCGCAGATAAACTCATCTTGGTGTTTCTGGCAGATGACGGACTTGGGAAATCTGTCATATGCAAAGGTTTCTGAGCTTCACATTTATCTTTGCTTCCTGATCTCCAAATCCCTTTAACCAGAACCTGTTTTTCCCTAGACTTTCATCCGAGGCAGATCATGGCTCAGTTCAGGTTTTTCAAGAAAAAATAAATTCCCATTGCAGCAGTACCAGGACCTCTCTAGGGCCAAAACAATCCAGGAACTGATGGATTCCCACAGAATCTATTACAATATAACAGTTGCATGAATTGAAATAAGCTATGGGCAGTGGTGTTATCCTTGAATCCCAATGAGTGTGGGGGAACATTTTCCAATATGAAATCTATTGGAGTGGCAAATGTGAATGATGATTGGGTGTGTGTGTGTGTGATCTGCTTCAGTTTATAATTGTGTGTCTTAAGAAGGAAAACATAGTAACCAGAAAGGAAAAATTAGTATTTATGAAACAACATTAGGCCTTAGGTGGGGTGAGGGAGAGACCTAAACCCAATTGTGACTAAAGTAGATCCAGTGAGTCAGGATTTACCTAAGTGTTGACTTACCACTGAATAGTGCATTAATTCTACACTATAGAATTAATGCAGTTTGATATCACTTTAACTGGCATGGATTAATGTTATGGAGTCTTGGAAATTATAGTTGGGTTAGGCACCAGCACTCTTTGATAGAGAAGGCTAAATACCTCGCAAAACTACAACTCCTGTGATCCCATATCTTTGAGCTATGGAAGGGAGAACTTTAATGGTTATGATCATGCCAAAGATGTGCATCTTGCTGTCAAGAATACAAGAAGAACTTATAATTTACAAATTCCCTGCCATAAGGTACTTGCAAGGTATGCTTTGAGAGCTTAGGACATTTTTTTTCATGTCAGGAGGGATGTGACAAATTGTAAGTCGCTTCTGGTGTGAGATAATTGTCTGTCTGCAAGGACATTGTCCAGAGGACACCCAGACGTTTGATGTTTTACCATCCTTGTGGGAGGCTTCTCTCATGTCACTGCATGGGGAGCTGGAGCTGACAGAGGGAGCTCAACCCACTCTCAACAGATTTGAACCGCTGACCTGTCAGTCAGCAGTCCTGCCAGCACAAGGGTTTAACCCATTGTGCCCATCGTGCCACTGCAAACTCCTCCTTTAGGACAGTAAATGAAGGGGAGGTATCAGAATTGAATAGGGATGCAGTGGCCAAGATGATCAAGATGATGTTTGATAGCCACACAACAACCTTATCTCAGTTTCAGGCAGATCTTTGTCCTTATAGTTGAACTGCCATATCCAGTTAATTGAACTCTTTCTTAATGCAGGAACTCACTGACGGGCAACATCCATCAAAGTCCCTTAAAGCCATGGGCATCCATTGTCCAGCAGCCAGTGTTAGGGAGGCGGCTTCATCAGCTGACACATCTCCAGTACAATCCAAAGTGGTATGTATGTTGGCAAGGAGTTGTTAATGCTTTGTCCAATTTAGGTTTCGTAGTTTGAGCCATGGCAGTTAAAGTGATGTTGGATTGCATTCATTCTATAGGGTAGAAAAAAGTGAAATCCTGGCTGTGGAAGCAGGCGTTTGGCGAGTAGAAAAATTAAAGTGCAATAGACTTTCACGGAACCAACATAAAAGCAACCTGGACAATGATTTCAGGATTGGTGCTATGTTTAATATGTTTTTATTGGTTTTAAACAGGATTTAATCTGTATTTTATGCATTTATTTGACTTTAATGGTTAATTGTATTATGTATTGTTTGATTTATGTATAATTGTGGCATTGAATGTTTGCCAAAATTGGAAGCCGCTCGGGGTGAGATTCAGCGGGGTAGAAATAAAGTAAATTAAGAAATAAAGTAAATAAATAGATGCACCTCCACCAACAACCAAGGCCAAAGGTTCAGCATCCCTGTCCTAGTTCCAGAAGCTGACTTATGGCACAATATCCTGAGATAAGCTTTAAACAGTAAAGATACTCTCTGTTTGTGGTCAAGAAGGATTTTATAATGGCCAGGATCATAAGGAAGGGCTACAGGAGATTCAGAGTAAAGCAGATGACTTATATTTCAATGTGTAAACAAAAATACATCTGATGAACATTTCATATGGAAGGACATGGATGTTACGGGTAAGGAATAAATGGCTGGATAACTAGATTTCCTGTGTTGCTTTGCAGGTGGAACTCATCCAAGCTGAACATCAGTACAGTCTGAATGAACTGATGGATGGAAGAACAACATCTTTTGGCTTCTCTGGCCCAAAGCTGGGGAGTGAAAGGGGGAAAGATGCAGCCCAGCGCCGCCTCTCCTACTACCAGCAGGAGCTATGGAACGTGTTGGGGAGCCTGCGGGAGCAGCATCTCCTCCAGGAGGAGGCCGAGCACATGCTGAAATCTCAGTTCAGCGGTGAGACAGAATATGGGCACAGGGAGCTATAAGGATTGCCAAAATGGCTCTCCTTCAATGTCAGGGTGTATTATAACGAGACTGGTACAATTATTCAGGGTTTCTAAGTGGGCCATTCAAAAACAGACAGGGAAACTTAGATCCATCTTTCAAAGAGGAGCTTATCATTCAACATTGTTATGTTGCAATTCCACTTAGTCCTGTCTTCAACTGGAGCTTATTGGATGTTTTTGCTGCTCTCCCAGTGCTGTACCATGCTGTAGTACTATTGAGTCATTTGGAAATTGACTCTTTTCCTACTTGAAATAATTACTCCCACCTTTTTATTTAAAATGTCAATCATAGAGCAGGAATGGAGCAAATAGGGTGGTGTAGATGACTTAGTCATATTTCAAATACAATAAATCAAGCACAAGAACTAGCACCATTGAAAGACAAACGCATTGATAGTGCGAACGAGTACATTGCCATTTTGCTTCCTTTCAGACTGTAGAAGTGGTTTTCAACTGGAACAACTAAAAACAACTGACTAGTGTGATGAGCACATAAGATACCTGAGGTATTCTCTTTGTTCCAGCAGATCTGCAACTCAGCTTGCAATATGAGGAAGCACGGTGTGAAAGCTACCCAACTGTCACCCGCAACTTTGCAGTCTCCCTGCACTTGTTCTCAGCCAAGGCCTATGAATTCATGAAGAAGACTTTTCAACTTCCAGAGACTGCAACTTTGCACACGTATGTATTTTTACGTATATGTTTTGCTTTTTGGGTTACCTGAAATGAGGGTGTCAAACTCATAAAGTGATAATATACCAATTTGTTTATTACTTATGAATTTTAATGTGGTAAAAGATATTCATTTTCTTTTATGCAACATTTTAAGATAAGAGAAAAGAAATAAGAATAAAATGTCTGAAAATGTGTGGTTTTGTCATGCCGGAAAAGGAACTTGAGTTCTTGAATATAGAGCATTTAAGCTTCCAATATATTTCTGGATGATATCTCTCCAATGCCATTGTGCCATCTAACAACAGAGTATGATACTTATTATGCCAGAAGTGTTGTTAAAACTACGAAATCTATCATGACTATTCACAATGAGGTTTTCTTTACTTGTACACTGAGAAGGCTGGGGAGAAAACAGATTTACATCTCTCCTGAAGGTATACATAGAATTTCTGTCCTTCATTTCAGCATCAAAAGCAGAATCCACCCACGTTCTGCCTCCCTATGTGGAACTGTTGTTATGTCTTCATCATAAGTCCATTTTGCCCAGTTAATATGGAAATGAAAGCATGCAGTTTTGGAGCTTGTTGATATCTGTCAATATCTGTTTGTTTGGTCATCTAATTTAGCTGGTGTCTTAGCCATTATCAAAGGCCTGTTTGAAAAGCCATGTTTTTAACTCCCTCCAGAAACACTGATGGGTGGAGGCTTGTCTAAACTAAGCACTATTATTTTTATCTGTTTGCTTCATTTATACCCCACCTTTCTCACCCCACACTGTGAGAAAGGAGGCTTACAAACTCTGGCATAAATTCAATGCTGCATATAAACAGAACAATAAAAACGTACCCCATCAAACTATAAAACAATTAAAACACATAAGCAAATAAAATACATAGGACAATAAAAACAGATTAAAAACCTATAAAGTGCGGAGTCTTAATTCCATACTTATTGATTAATACATAAACCTTGTTCAGGACTAGGGTTTGATCCTTTTCTTTTCCAATGCTTCTTCCATGATAGGTGGCTCTCAAACTCAGATTGCAAACCGGGATTCAGTGAACAAGCCTTCAATGCTTTGGCTGAGAGGTCTCAACCAGCACAACAAACCTGCAAGAAGTGCTCTCTCCTTATTGGCACAATGCCTCTGGAAAAGAGAATCTATTATGACCCATCTACCAGGCGTCTCCAAGGCCTGGTGGACTTTGGTGCTGGGAGTTATGATGCTGATGAGATTTTGGCAGCAGGAGAAGCACTCCTGTTTGTGGCTGTTGGATTTCAACATCAGTGGGTTGTGCCTCTGGGCTACTTCCTCCTTGCTACTCCTAGAGGTGACATACAGGCCCAGCTCCTCCGGCACTGTATCCTCAAACTGCATAATGTTGGCCTGCAGGTAATCTCAGTAACATCTGATGCCACAGCTCCTAATATTGACACTGCCAGGCGATTGGGAGTAGTGGTAGATGGTCTCACTGTCAAGTCTACATTTTTCCATCCAGCCACCCCTACGCTGGAAATCGCATACTATTTTGACTCTAGTCATCTCTTGTCACTAATCCATAACTTTCTGCAGACGAATGGCAGCCTTCAAGTGAGCAGCAAGGCGGTCTGCTGGGACTACCTTTTACGTCTGGGGGCTTTGCAGGAAACAGAATTGCTCCAGGCAGCATGTTATGCTGGAGGGATCAGGCTGCAGGATCAACAAGTTTGGGTAAATGGCACCACACAGGTTTTTAGCGAGGGAACTGTTCAGGCATTGGATTTTGCTGCCAAATTAGGCCTGCCCCAGTTTCAAGGTCATGAGGCAACCACTCAATTCATTGGACTTCTGAGTAATGTTTTTGATATATGCAACAGCTGGAGTGCCTTTGGGAAAGGCTCCAAAGCACCACTATCCTCTGCCAGTGTGGACATTCTCAGTAATCTTTGCAATGAGTATGAGAACCTGCTTCGCAAACTGCGCACTGCCTCAGGGGAGTTCCTGGAGTTGAGTAAGCATCGATGGGGCTTCCTAGGCTTCCTGGTGAATCTGCGCAGCTTGCAGTGGCTGGTGCAGGCCCATTTATTGGTAGAAGAAAGCCCCATGACTTATCTGCTTCCTTGCTGGTGGAGCTTGGATGCTCTGGAATGGTGCAGAGGAGCCATACGGAAAGAGTGTGGGACCAAGAACATTGCCACAGCAGGGAATTTCAAGGATGCATATAAGCTGGTCTTAAATAAAGCTGTTTCTGGTCTGGGTCTCGACACACCAAACCTGCTCGACATATCCTTATGCAGACGGGCTAGCCTCCAGTTACAGGCCTCTTGGCCTCTAGGACAGGGACAAATCTGGCAGTTGCAATGGGGGTCTGGGTTTCCCCAAAAAATGAATAATGTAAGTGTAGACCCAGCTTTTCTGGCTGAGTTAAAGGAAGACACAGTCACCTATATTTCTTGTGCCATTTTGGGGAAGCTGCTGCCACTCCTGTCCTGCGCCAAATGCCGCGCTGCCCTTTTGCGCCCTTGTGGAGGAGTGCCTACAGACTCTGCCCTGATGTTTGTGGAGAGCAAGGGTGGAAAATATCTCCCAGCAAAGTCTGTGCAAAGAGTGATCTGCAGAGCAAAGCAAATTGTTAGCCTTTCTTCCTTGTTTCTCAAAAACTCCTGGCGTCATGGGCACTTAGCACAGGAGTTGGCCATTTTGGCAGAAGTGAGCGAGGAACCTGATCTTTTCCCATCCCTGGTGGATCATGTCTTTGAGAGCAACACTTTGGTTTCCAACCATTATGTCACTTTGTTACAGGCTCTTGTGAGAACCTTCTTGGAGCTTTGGTTTAGGTTAGTGCAAGGACCACAATGCATGCCAGTGGCTCAAGAATGTCACTCCACGAAGGAGGCGGACCGTAAGCAAAGCATGAGGGGCCCCAGGAAACCCTTGGGACACCCTTGGAAGTGGCCCCAGGAAATTCTTGGACTCAAGGAATGGTACCGAGCTCTCTGAAGATGGACAAGAGTTCACTTCCAAATACCAGTATGTGACCTAGTGAGTGAAAAGGAAGCTCATAGGATACAAGCTCATAGAAAATGGTGAGACGGTGTTATTGGGAATGCAAAAATAGAGGCAAGGAGAATCGATATACAGAAGGGCCTTTCTAGAGGCAACTTTTCAAGTAAAATTGTTGCATGGTGTGGGCAACGGCGCTCACACATGTGGCCAAGTGAGATAAGGGCTTTGCTGGTCATAATTGCAGGGTTTACAGTGGGGATAAAGGGCAAAGTTCAGCCTTTCTGATACTGTGGGATTGCAACCTAACCAGAATAGTAAAATGGTGAGGAATTCTGAGAAAAAAAATGTCTAAAAACATCTAAACTCTAACCTGTCACCACCAGGACTTGGAAACATTCTAGATATACAAAGAATGGATAAATATTGTAGGGCCAATACTGCTGTTAACAATGTCAATTGTAATTATTAGATTACGTGACATCACAGTGAAGAAACCTGAAGGAAGAATAGATTGTATTTACACTTTCAATATTCTGATAGTTGCAAAATGAAGGAAATTATAATGTGTGGTACAGTTACATAGCCCCCCCAAAAAAGTGTGTCTTGGTTTTTAAGCCTGTTTATGGGGCTATTTGGGGCATTGATTCAGAAAATTGCATTGGCTAGACTGCATCAGAAGTAGTTTCATAGATATGTTTATCATGACTTTCTATGGCCAAGCAGCTGAAGACTGCTATATGGCATGTATTCTGTATCTCAAAAACAACAGCATTGCTTTTGTGATCAGCATGTGAAATATACCCAGAAAAAGGTTTAACATTAGAGGCACCTTTTTTTCCATGTCAGAAGTGACTTAAGAAACTACTAGTCTCTTCTGATGTGAGAGAATTGACTGTCTGCAAGGACATTGCCCAAAGGACATCTGGATATTTTACCATCCTGTGGGAGGCTTCTCTCATGTCCCGGCATGGGAAGCTGGAGATGACAGACAGAGCTCGCCCCATCTCACAGATTCGAACCGCCGACCTTCAGGACAGCAGTTCAGCTGGCACAAGGATTTAACCCATTATGCCACCATTGGTCCTATGCACCAAAATGTGTGTTGGACGGTGTTACTGGTTTTATTGTGATATGAAGGATATAACATTGGTTATGTTGATTGTATGATTTTGAGTGATTCTGCAATATGCAGGCTTGTTGACTCATATTAACTTACATAGCCTGTAAAAATTAGCTTGAGACAGACAGTGGAACCCCACAATGGAGGTATTAGTGACACAGGTATGTGTTCTAAAAATGCTTGTTTTGTGCTGCATATCTTGACATAAGGTTTATAGGAATTCCAAATTTCAGAGGTCCACAGAGGTCAACAAAGCTGTTTGGCTGCAGAATCTGCTATGTGGGACAGGTAAACATTGACTTTACTCAGCACATTGTGTAAAAGATGAATTTCAGTTGGTTGGTTCGGGAAACTTGCATCAAATGGTGTAGTTTCAAGATATGTTTAATTTTAGCACCAGAAAAGTGATGATGATTTTGGAAAGAAAGACCAGCCCCAGGGCGAAAGTGATAAGATCCAACTGTGTTCAGCTTTGCTTGATGCCTTTCCTGAGGTTTCAAATGGTGGAACCACAGCACATTTTCTAAGCTGATCGTTGGGGGTTTCTTTTGGCTGTCTGTTTCTATTGTGTCATGTTTTGTTAGATAGCTGTTGGGGTTGAGCTAAATTTAAATGAACTGAAATTGAAAATGGTGATTATTGATAGGGCCTACACAGGGTCTCTCCAAATCTGAAATTATGTTGTATCGTTGCAACTTGTGCAGCATGTCCAGAGCAAAAACCCTTGGATTTGTTGATCAGGAAACATCATAGGAATATCCATGTTGGGTACAAGACTAAGGACCTCAGTGAAGTCCCATACCGAGTCAGTACCAATATCACCACAAGATGGGTTTTGAAAGACTGCCCACCTGTATCCGTTATGTTTCAGAAATGATGGTATATTTCTTTCAAAGGTTCCTAAAGCTGGGAAAGTAGAACGGCTTTTGCCAGTAGTCATTCAGTTTCTTAGACGGGTGTCACAAAACAATCATCGTGTGAAATCTGTGCCCCATTTCTCCTATTGTTAATGATTTTTTTTATGGATAGAGATATGTAAGTTTTTAAAAATAAACACCTTTCAGATACCAAGCTCTAATTTATCTAGTTAAACTTGGATTAGACAACACCATTTTAGGTGCCATGAAATAGGAAACCTTGAGTTCTGCATCCGGAGAGAATGAAGAGAAGAACGGGAGTAAAGAAAAAAGTTTGCACCAGTACATTTGAGATGAAGAAACCTGCATTGTGTTAAAACAGTTCTGGCTCTGATGTTTCTAGAATCCTTTATCATTTAATCAATAGTCCCCCAAATTATTTTCTCCCCCACCCCTCATTGCCAAGACTTTTTTTTTTACTGCCAGCTCCACCCTGCTCTGCAGAAGCAAAGCTGAGATACTAACTCAAATTAGACCAAAGCTCTGACCTTTGGATGTCATAAAGCAAAGTCCAGCAAGTGGCTCAGGCCTTGGGCCAGGTCAGTAAACAAGACAGGAATGCAAGATTGCTTGTACAACAGCTGCACTCGGGATTTCAACAGACCTGCACCTGCTCCAAAATTTCAGCCATGAGACTTCTCTTGTCTGCTAAGTAAGACACCAGTTACAGCCAGTGGCCTGTGCAGCTTTTGGCAAGCCTGCTAGAGACCCCACCCTCTGCCTGATTTTTTCTGAAATAGTTCCATAGGCCAACAGGAAGAGAGCTGAAGAAGGCAGCTCAAACATTCAAACTGCGGCATAGCCTGGAGTGCAGTTCCTTTCCTTTTGAAGGGTCAGTGCAGCTGCAGACTTCGAGTACCTCTGGAAGCTACATTAATACTTCCCTTCATAAATTCCACAGCACAGTATAGAAAATGTTCATCTGTCTTGATGCATGTAGATCTGTTCTCCATTGCAATTATATTTAAAAATACACATCTCCATTCCATCCGATTGGTTGCTTACAACTAAAAAATGACTAAGACTAAATTGGAGCCAATCTTATATGACATCTGAGTCCTAAAACAAGTTTCAAAGCTACAGTGGGAGTAAACTACACACTATTATCCCAATCTTTACATCTCTACTACCCTTCCCCCTTCATATTCAAGTCAATTGTATGCCATTTAAAATGTAGAAAGGACCCTTGAAAGATGAGTCTTTGTGCTATATCTGCACTTTCCTATATTTCTGAGTCAGGTGTTTTCTTTATTGGGTGAGTGTTGCATTCTTCTGCAGAGAGTTGTGGCCTGTACTCCTATTAGACATCTCTAGAGTTTTGTTGCAGAAGCATAAAAAGGAAAAAGCCTTCACCAAAGATTAATGTCATACCATGTTAAGTATTCTGGGGTTGCTTATATTTTCCCTGCATCTCGCTCCCTGTTCCTAGGGCAAAATCCAACTACCACAACTATATGTTTATGACTAGGAAGGATACTCAGTCTGTCTTGTAGCAGTGGTAGTATGGAACATGGCTGCAACAACTTTAAAAAGAAAAGTTTTTAATTTTTGCCCTTATTGCTATAAGTGGTGATACGGATCCCTATCTGCTTATTCAACCCCCTCCCCATCCCGCATGCTAGTTTTGCTCCTTGGGAACTCTTTCCCATTCTTGTTCCCTTAATTATAGAATACACAAAAGAGCCGGAACGTTTTTATATACTTTATTAGAAAAAAAGATCACCATATTTCTAGATATTTAAAATGAAGTACAGGTTACAAGAAAAGAATGACCTCAAAAAGGTCCAAATTTTTGCACATGGTTTTTTGATGCAAGTTAGAGGCCAATGATTTGGTGACCTCTGGAGAAATTGCACACAGGCTACACACCTTCAGGTCGTTATGGGGGAATGGGGAAGCAATCATGAAACGACCTTCTCAACATAATTAGCAGGATAGAGTCCAACTTGACCAGTCAGAAGCCGGCCTTTGCACCATCCCTGTTCGTCCTCTTCACTGATCTTCATGAGCTCTTCTCCTAAACGGGAGGAAAACAGCCCAGCTGAAATGAAACAAACCAAGGACCCACAAAGCTCTTTTTAAGTGGCATTTGGGCATTCACTAAAGTGGGGCCGGCAACCCGTGTCTCTTTGGGTATATGCTGCTATTTCCATGTAGGCAGAAAGAACCCAGGGGAAAAGGTGAACAAAAATGAAAAATGTGACAGCAGAGAAACAGAATGGTAGAAAATAAGTGTGGGGCCTTTCTCTAGATGCGGTAATTTCAACTGGTGATAAAGGAAAAAAAATAAGAGTGATGGGAAGCTAGTACAGATGATGTGTGACCTGCTACTTTTGTCCTTTTACTTTAGTAAGACTCTTCTAGCCAGCTGAAGATTTCTTGGAATTATACCCCAAAAAGTGATTTTTCCAAGTTTTGAGAATTATGAATGGAAATCTGTACAGACTTCTTTCAAGAGCTATCTTACCCTTCCCCAACTTGCTTGTGGAGCAGGCAGGAAGGATGAGAGTTAGACAAGACGGACATGTAAAGAAAAAAGAGGGTTGGCATGGATTTATTTTGGCTCTGCCAACTGCTGACGTGTGCCTCTGACAAAAAATAGGTTTTCCGCCTCTGCATTAAAGTGAGCCTTCGACATTCCTGCTTTTAAAAATGCCTGTTCATGCACACACAGAAATGAATCTGAGTCTGAGGCACAGCATACAGTCATATGAAGTGAATTCCATGGATCTCATTTTCAAAATTACTATTTGCACAAATGTCTTCAAAAACAACATTGTGGCCTATTGGAAGAGTCTTTCTATAGAGGCACATCTGAAGAAAACACTAGGCTCTTGGAAATGAGCACATGGGAGATGTTTTCTTGTCCCTTCTTCCCTCTGTGGTATCCATATTATCCAATATTTACTCATGTTGCGTAGTCAACCTTCAAGTTTACAAGGCACCATGCAGAACTCAAACATAGCAATAAGTGACGTGATTAGTGAGCATGGTGTAACCACCCCCTACCAGATAATGTGCCAGAAACCCAACCGCTAGATACTCCAATGTTGTGTTCACGGAGAAGTGTTTATTTTAAAATAGTTCCCAGGAGCAACAAAAACCTTGCATACTTATTGGATAGGCATTGGGAAATTGCCAATGTACAGTATTATCAATATGGACACAAGTTTACAGTGGCATGTATGTAGGAAAATATGTTTCCAGTGTGCCAGCAGGTTTCAAAAAAGGAGTGGCCTAGTTCCCTTGGGTATATCCTCTGAAATTTGCACAGCAAACACAAACTGATAGGGTATGTTCCTTTTTTCTATCCTTCCCTATCAAACAGAAAAAGGAAGGCTGACCACAAAAAACAATTAAAAAGCACCTAGAAGGGTTTTGCATTCCAAAAGCCATTGGTTCATTCTTAACCTAGCATAACAGATGTGGCATTTGGGGGATGGACAGAAAAGGAAACCCAAAAGTGACTTGGTTCTTGTACAATCATCCTTTAACCATCATGCTACAGAGGTTTTCATGA